CAAAATTGCTCTAAAAACTATATGACTACTAAGAGATCTGATACTTCACTGCCAACTAAGGGGCTGAGGAAGTGGGTACATCAGACAAAGGGATGATTCATACCTAAGGTGGGACTGAACAAGAGAGCACAAGATTAAACTCAATACAGTGCACAATTCAAAACTGCTGAATTGTTTATTTCTGAAATTTTCTATTTAACATTTTCAATCTAGAGCTAGCCACAGTTAGTTAACTGAAACCAGGCAAAACAAAACCATAGACCAGGAAGTATTTGACTTTACTTAGATGGCCTTGTCATTCTTTACATGCAATTCTAAAAACCCAAATGAAGGTACGAAAGGGAAAAGTTTTCATATCTGAAAGCAGCAAATTTAGTCTTACTGACTTTATGTGGTAGACTTCTGTTTTGTATGAATGTTCCTGTTTCACTGCAGAAATACCAAGGCCATTAATCTTTGCTTACCTAACTCTGTATGAATGTTGTTCTGGGGAAGAAATGCTTGATTTTTAAGCTCTCCCAAGATGTCATATTATCCTAAATTTGAAACATGCCTACTCCAAAAAATATCTGGACAGGAATGTGAACATGTATTAATTTACCATCTCATGTAGCATAAATTTTGCCCATCATCAAATTATGTATTTCCAACCTTCTCCTTGATTAAAATTATTCCTGACTGGGCATAATAGAGGTAAAATCTTACAGAAGGAAGAAACCTAAAGCTCCGGTAAGGGGCAACACAACACAGATTGTCACTCACTAGATGTGAGGTGATCAAAGATTCAAAATGAAAGTCTGGAACCAAGAGACCCTCTTCCGGCTTCATTTGCAACATTTATAGTATTAGTGAGATATAACGACCTTGCCCAAATGCTGAGTTTTACAGGAAAGAAAATTTTTAAGGCCCAAAGAAAATTGAGAAGCCAAGTATTTGTCTCACACAGTTGGTTTGTGGCTGGCTAGACCATTGTTGCATGGCTCCTTCTTTTAATGTTTGAGGTTTTTCCCTGAATTTTATCATTCGACAGACAAAATGGAAATATAAAAAATAGAGTCTAAAGACCAAGAAGAAAGGAAATGTATGATAGTTTTGCTATTTATGTTTGGAAAAGCACAGCTTTGCTTGAACCTCAGGCCGCAAATGACAGGAGCGACATGGAGCAGCACTGCTTGGACCAAACAAGAGGCACAGGTGGGAGAAGTGATGGTGGAAAGAACTTGAGAGTGAGGACTCAAATTATATTCTGGGAGAAATCCTGGAGTAGCTGGGTCTAGAGACAATATGGAAAAGACCGACTTCAAACCTTTCAGAGATAACACCATCATTATCCCAGGAGGGGCCTCTAGAAGCTAAAATATAGAACTAAAAACAAAATGAAACAAACAGATCAAAAGAAAGAAAGAAAGAAAGAAAGAAAGAAAGAAAGAAAGAAAGAAAGAAAGAAAGATGATAGATAGATAGATAGATAGATAGATAGATAGATAGATAGATAGATAAACGCCATGTGCCTAAGATTGATCTAGGCCGAGAAGCTTTCCAATAAATGAAAACCCAAAACTGGAAGACAGACATTGGCAGAAGAGAATGATAACTAATCAAACAATTGTTTTGAAAACTAACAAAGAATAATATTTAAAAAATCTCTGTATGAGAGGAATTTTAGTTATTGTCTGGTGAAACAGAAATGTTAAAACCAATCAGTTTATCTGTTTGGCATAATGGCAAAATACTTATGGAAGCCTGGAAGGTCATAACTTCTTCAATTTTCTGAAGGCCAGAGTGACCTTAGAGCTAAAAGGGAAGGGATGGAAAAAAGCCAAAGTGGAATTGGAATCGCACATGACATAAATACCAGCTAGTTTCTCTGAATGAACTTAGATCCTGGTGATATGGGATAAGAAGACAAGCAAAAGCTTGCTTCTAAGCCAATAGGAACAGCTAAACACGTAAACACCATGCAAGAACAATGACCAGAAAACAACATGTGTTTACTAGGAACAAATTATACCTGCTACTTTCATTATCAACTTAGGGAAGTGACTCATGGACCAAGGGAATTGTTTCATGACCAAGACAGGTGAAACTGGCTTGAATGCTTTATAAATAGGGGATTATTAATGAGATGAGAAATCAGCACTAATGAACAGCACCGTGAAAGGAACACAGAAGTGTTTCATAGGGCTCTGTTCTTAGGTCACTCAATTTTCATATTTTTCACCCAGAAGATGAAGGGATACAAAGCAAATTTGCACTTGCTACAAAGAAAATCAAGTGATATGGAATAAGTCACTTTTGGCAAAGAGGAAATATGACCTACCAACAAAAATCACACAGTGGCTGACTAGTGACTTGATGAGTTATGTGGCTGGCCCCTTGGGAAGTAGATCAGCACTCCCCAAAAGGAATTTGTGCCACATTCACAGAACCCAGAGCCCCCAGTTGGGACAGACAGAACTTTCCACTGAGCTACCTTAGGTTTTGTGCTCCTTTCTTTCCCATCTGTAAGACAGACTGAATTTAGAGGACAGCAGTTAGTGACAAAGGCAGTTATGCTATAGTCAGAACCATATTTTCTGGAGAAATTGTAAAGGACTGAAATTTAAGAAAATATAATAAAGTAAAGCCATGATAAAACCTTCAAGGAAGGTTTTGTCTCATTTCATGAGAAAGAAACTAGACTTACTCTCAGAGGCCCAAAGGTCAAAGAGGAGAGAGACTTTGGTTCAACACAAGCCAGTTCTCCAAGGAGCAGAGCTACACTGCCCATTTCTACTTCAGAGCTGTCAGTGGAGCAGGTCATTGGCTGGATATGAAGGAGTCTCAAAGTGGGAACAAGATATGCTTTGTAGAGATTTTAAAAATTACATCTTAATAAAGCTTATCAAACAGGATGAGTTAGATGTCATCACTTTTACTTTTTCTTCCTTTTCATATCTCTTTGGATTAATATAAAGAAATTAAACAAAAATATCACTGAAA